CCATTGGATAGGCCAGAATGTCAGCTTTAAGATGAGACTAAACACGTAACTGCAGCACAACTCAAGTAGACACTATATATAAAGAGCTCACCAGCTAATTAGTTCCTATCTAATTACTTAAAGAACTCCCCCACCCGCCCCCCTTTCATGAAATGTCGTGAAATCATAAATCAACGTAGAGAGATGGCAGTGGTACCGTTGGATAGGGCAGAATGTCATCTTTAAAATTAGTATGAAAACCGAAAAAGTAAAAATTTTCAATTTTAGGGTAGACGCTCCCCTTAATTGCTGCATTGAAATTAATGAATATGTTGATGTAGCATTACCGGAAAATTTACGGATTTGATGTATTTGTTAAGAACAAATGATGTATTAGTTGTATTATGAAATTTGGTGAAACTGTTGCACGCTTCTCCCACTTCTCGAAATTCGCCGTTGAGAAATTAGTGAAAATTAACAGATTTTTACAATTTACCAAAAACAATATTTTCATTTCTATCAACAAAATATGGCTTTCACAGATTAGTAACTTGCGAACCGCGTCATGTGAACCGCGTACCTTTAGCCGCGTCAAGTGAACCGCGTACCTTTAACCGCGTCATGTGAACCACGTACCTTTAGCCGCGTCATGTGAACCGCGTACCTTTAACCGCGTCAAGTGAACCGCGGACAGTTAACCGCGTCATGTGAACCGCGTACCTTTAGCCGCGTCATGTGAACCGCGTACCTTCAACCGCGCCATGTGAACCGCGTACCTTTATCCGCGTCATGTGAACCGCGTACTTTTAACCGCATCAAGTGAACCGCGTACATTTTTGCTCATTAAAGGAACCATTACACGTGAACCCATCGTATGAACCGCATAAAGTGAACCGTGTCCCCCAGGGAGCCCAGCGCAGGCACGTTCTACCACACGCGCTTCGTGGCGTCGCTGCGCAACACGGAGTTCGATGACGTCATCTTCCCCAGATGTGAGGGTGCTTACTTACTTAAATACCTCTTAATTATGTCACTTTAAGAGTCTTTAAGACTTTTTAATTTTTACTTTTATTTTTAGTATGATTCACTCTTAATATTATTGTTTAGACTTTAGACTATTAATTACCTCTTAATTATATCAATGTAAGAGTCTTCAAAACTTTTTTAATTATTACTTTTATTCTTAGTATGACTATGATTAACCCTTAATATTATTACTTTGATTATTAATTACCTCTTAATTATGTCATTTTAAGAGTCTCTAAGATTTTTTAATTATTACTTTTATTCTTAGTATAATTCAACCTTAATATTATGGTTTAGACTATTAATTACCTCCTAATTATGTCATTTTACGAGTCTTTAAGACTTTTTTAATTATTACTTTTATTCTTAGTATAATACAACTTTAATATTATTGTTTAGACTGCTAATTACCTCTTAATTATGTCTTTTTTAAGAGTCTTTTAAGACTTTTTAATTATTACTTTTATTCTTAGTATGATTCACCCTTAATATTATTGCTTAGACCATGAATTTAAAAGCAAAAACAATACCACAAAAATTCACCATATCTTTATAAGAGAAAACGTTTCGGAGTCCAGCTCCATTGTCAGTTCACAAAATTCAGTTCAGAAGAAGTTCAGATCTAGAAACACAAATACAATCAATTAGTAGAGTAAAAGGCACTGTTAGGTTTTAAAACGGAGAATAAA